GAGAAGGAGCTAGCTTGTCCTGTCTTCCCGGGCTGTCACTGGGCTCTGGACACCACCCGTCTACTCAGCAACAATGCTGTTTCAGGTCTAGAGAAAGGAAAGGAAGGGTTTTGCTTGGACCATCTGGGAGCAGGTGGCTGCCTAAGGCCCCTGCAGGCTTTTATACCATCTGCCCTGCAACCCTGCTTAGAGGGGGAAATGCTTGTCCTGGGGGTTCGATGACCCAGAGTTCTCAGGGGTCTCTCTCAGCAGCCTTTATGGTTGCTTGGGGCTGTTAGAGTCAGAGTCTGGGATCCAGAGGCTCTAACAAGCTAGGCTCAGCCATCCATTCTCAATGGGCTAGTTGAACAAAAATGTAATAGTGAAAAGCGGAGAAGGGAGATTTATTCACTATGGGTTCTCCTAAAGAGCAATTAAAGTGGACCAGTGACTGCTTCCCCCACCCCAAGTCCATCTTTGATGTCTTGATATGAGGCTTGGTTTAAATAGAAGGTAAGAGGTCTGGGTGGCTAAGCACTCCTGACCAAGATGTGGTCCCACCCATCACTGACCTATCCTTGTCTGGGCTCCAGTGTCTTCTGCAAAGTGGTCTAACAGCTTGTCAGAGCTGTGTGACATCTTTTCCTGGGAGACAAGCTGCTCCTTTGACTGGCACCAGACTTCAGCCTTTCCTTTCTCCTAGCATGAGGCTTCTGGGAAAATTCTAATTTCTTGAGGACCATTGTTTTAATAACCAAAGGGAGAGGTGCAAGTATCTCTCTTTTTTAAAAAAATTTCTTTTATTTTTGAGATTATAATATAATTCCCCCTTTCCCTTTCTTCCCTCCAAATCTTCTCATATACCCCCTTGTTCCATTTCAACATCATGACTTCTTTTTTCATTAATTGATTATACACACATTCACATATAAGCATATTATTCCTGAATATATAAATATAACCTCTCAGTCTGTAGAATGTTACTTGTATGTTTGTTTTCTGGGCAGACCATTTGGTACTGGATAACCAATCAGTGTGCTCATCCCTGGGGAAGACTGTTTCTCCTGGTCTCAGCGTTCCTTAGTTGCCTGTCATTCTTTGTGTAGGACTGAGGCCTCGTGGGTTTTCCCCCTCATGTGTCTGTTTAGAATGTCTTCGTTCCTGCCAGGGTGAATATAAAGCAATCCCAGAAGCCAGGAGTCCCCGGGGGTGTTGCCCAGGGAGATAAGACCTCACATATATTAACTATGGGACACCATGTTTCCCTGAAGTCCGGCAGGATCATGTCTGCCCTCCACACTCCTGTGGAGGAATGGCCTCCTTGGCTTCTATCACCTTCCTGTGCTTCCTGAGGTTCCCTTTCCTTCAGGGCTAGGGCAATGTCTCCTCCCTGATGCTGAAGGGACAGAGAGGATGTCACTGTCCTCAGATGTTGCCACTGATTTTGGAGTTTGTCTGGTCCCAGGTCTGAGGCATGTAGGTTGTGTCAGGCTAAGTGCTGACTCTAGAGTCATCTAGAACATCTAGAAGACTGGGTACAGAGCTGCCATCTCTGAACATTTGATCATTAGCTTGCATTTCCTCTCCAGCTACGACCTGGGGAGGACTTCTGTACTCAGAATGAAGCACTCCCAGTCAGTCACACTGAAGTACCTTTAGGGATGGCAGCCTCCGGGACACTCCTTGTTGTGGGGGCCGATAACATTGATAAACCAAGATGAGGGGTTTCTAATTGCTGTTCCCTAGCACCTAGCACCACTTCAACAGGGAGCACAGAGAGGGTAAGTGCCCTGCCTGAAGTCACACAGCTCATACATGGTAGAATTAGCACCCAGGTAGTGCCATAGGATGGACACACACACACACAGAGAGAGAGAGAAAATATACCATACTAGGCAGGTGGTACCTACCTATAATCCTAGCAGCTACATCAGAAGTTTAAGGTCATCCTCTGTACACAGTGAGTTCAAAGCCAGTCTGGGCCACATGAGAGTCTCCCTCAAAAAAAGGAAAAACAGTAAAAGCCCCGAAAGCAAGGCTGACAGCTTGTTTTGCACGCACGAGGCAATGCGTTCCATCTTCCCAAACCACCCATATGTATATACTATGAAAAATACATTCATATGCAAAACGAGTACCATACCATACTACTTACATGTTTGTATGTAGAACATCCTATGTATCTCTATACACACTTATACAGTCATAAGTGCATATCAAATACACAAAAATTCTCTACATAGACTGTAAATACTTGCTAGTAATATTTACAGTTGATTTTCTATGCTTATGTTCACACCCCTTTTGCATCAGATATTTGTCCACAATTAATTAATTAATTAATTACTGAAACTGGATCTCATGTATCTCAGGCTAGCCTTGAGTTTGCTAGGAAGGTAATCCTCCTGCCTCTCCTTTCTAAGTTCTAATTCCTAATTACGGGCATGCACTTAAGGTTTTTGTCTTCTTTTTTGAAATTTTATTTTTATTTTATAGGTATTTGTGTTTTTCTTATATGTATGTCTGTGTGGGTCAGAACTCGCGCCCGGGGGTCGTGGGAGGCGGTGCGGGTGTGAGCCAGAGCGCAGAGGCCATCCCAGACACGCTGTTCAGTCGCGCCGGGCAGGGCCGATGTAGTCTCTCGGAGCGCGAGAGAGAGAGAGAGAGAGAGAGAGAGAGAGAGAGCCCCGCAGATGGCTGGGCCAGAGAAAGCGGGGCCCAGTGTGCCAGCGAGACAAGGGTGCGCGCGGGTTTTGACTTACACAATGAGTCCAGAATTGTAAGAGACACTTGGTGATGAGTTTGAAAGGTGGCGTGCTCTCCCCAAAAAATGCCAGAAGGTGTTTGTTTATATTGGAAGCAGGAGAGGGGCGGGGCCCGGGCCTTTAGGTAACTCTTGAGACAGAGGCCTGTTTCCCAGCCCTCTACCTGGGCCTTACACTACATGGAGACCTTGCATCAGGTCTCCAGGGCGTGGCCAAACACCTCAGGATTCCACAGTCCCACATGTCTGTGTGAGTTTGTCGTATCTTGGAGTTATAGACAGTTGTGAGCTGCCATGTGGGTGCTGGGAATTGAACCTATATGCCCTCTGGAAGAGCAGCCAGTGCACCTAACCACTGAGCCATCTCTTCAGCCTCTTGTTTTTCTTTTTCTTTTTCTTTTTTTCTGAGACAAAATGTTATTTGTAGCCTAAAACTCACAGTGTAAAACAGGCAGTCCTCTGAGGTGCATGGTATGATTCTCAGAGAATTTTTTTGATTTCCCCAGAGAATTTTATTGATTCCCAAGAGAATCAATAAAAATACTATGTGGAAAAAGAAAAGAGAAAAAGAAAAAGTGAAAAGGGTTGGCCAGACATCTCAGTGGGTAAAGGGGCCACTGCCAAGCTTGGTGGCCTGAGTTTGTCACTGGGACTGATATGGTAGGAAGAGAGGTCCAGCCTCCTGCAGGTGTCCTCTGACTTCACATATGTGCCGTGGTACATACTCCTCTCCTCAGACAAATAAATAAATAAATAAACAAACAAACAAACAAACTAAAAACAACCAAACAGGTAGGCTTTGAGCTTTTGTTGCTTCTCCTGGCTCTGTCTTCTGAGTGCTGGGATTATAGGTGCCTGTGAGACCGTGCCTGGCTCATTTTAACTGTGTTTAGTCTTTATTTTTTTCTTCTTCTTTCATTCTTGATTTAAACTTTTCCCATTTATTGTGTGTACATGTATGTGCAAGCTGATTCTCTCTTCCATGGAGGTTTTGGGAATCAGATTCAGGTTATCAGGCCTGTTGGGAAGTGCCTTTAATGGCTGGGTCATGCTTTCTTTTTTCTTTAAAAAAAGATTTCAATATATTCGTGTGTGTGTGTGTGTGTGTGTGTGTGTGAAAGAGAGGGGGGTGGGGAGAGATTTCAGGGATTCTTTATATAAGGCCATGTGGTCTATAAATAGAAATAGTTTCTCTTCCTTTCAATCTAGATGCTTGAACCTGAACTGTGGTTTTAAATAGAAGCAAGGAGAACTTCACACTGGAGTCTTATTTCTGACTTGAGGGGCAAAGAATTCAGTCTTTCACCCCTGAGAATGAGGTTACTTATGGGTTTTTCTCTATGTGGCTAACAGTTTATTGGCAATTTTCTCTAATCAGGAGGGGACGTTGCATTTGATCAGGGTCTCTGGCTTCCTGTCTGTCTCTATCTGTGTCTCTGTCTCTCTCTCCCACCCTCAGGACAGTTGTGTACATTCATTTGATGTTCAGTAGTTACCTCTCATTCATGTTGACAGCAGGCTTTTTTGTATGTGGTAACAGAAACTCAGAGCTTGTTTGGAAAATCCACACTCTCGTTATATTTCCCAGGCAAACATACATGCACAAAATATGGAACACTCCTGCTTAATGTGCATGGCTGAGGTCCCATGTCCTTAATGTGAATTTCCAGATTTCTCTGACTGCCCGAGGGTCACGCTTCTTAAAGCCATCTGCCTCATGGATGCTTATGTTGGTGTTGTTGGTGAATTCCCAGTAGTGCCTTGTGGATGACAGAATAACCCTTATTTTCCTGGAAACCCTTCTTTGTGGATCCATTCTGCTTGGCCCCAGGTTGGAAAAAAGGCTCAGGTGCTTTTCTGAGAAAAAAAAAAAAAGGGTTTTCTTCCCTTTAGTGTTGAGGCTTGGAACTGGGCCTAATGGCCCTGGCTGTCATCCCCACCACTGAGAAGGCTGCAAGGTGGCTTTGAACTTCAGAATGAGTTCAAGGACAAGTTGGTCAGTTTAGGGAGACCTTGTCTCAAAATAAAAAGTAAAGCTGTCTGAGGATGTAGCTCGTGTTAGGGTGTTTGCTTGGTTGGGGTCGATCCCTAATACCACCAAAATAAATAAATAAATTTAAAATGTCTCAATGGCGTCTTGTATCACTGTTCTGAAAAGGGGCCAAGATGTGTATGCTGTCATTGTGGCTGGGTGCTTCTGTCTAGCGACAGTCTCTCTTAGGAAGGAATCCCCTCCTCACTGTCTCTCTGTCCTCAGGCCTACGAGAAGCGCTTCCCCACCTGCCCGCTTATCCCAGTCTTTCTGGGTAGTGAAGTCCTGGGAGAGTGGCGAAGCGCAGATGGGGCGGTGCACACGGTGGAGCGGAGCTGCAGGCTGCGAGTGGAAGCCCCGCGGCTGCTGCGTAAGGTGAGCACGGGGCTGGGGTCCCGGTGTGCAGGCTGTGAATGGGTCCACTTGCGGTACAATGGGGCCGCCAGAACCTTGAGATCTGGTAGGGCTAGCATCCCGGGGAGTCCAGGCTCAGGGTCTGGGAACCAGAGCTAGATGAGAATCCAGGAACATGGAGTGGGGTGCGGGTCTATGGGTTTGGCCACGGCTGGATGGTGGAGGTGGCTGGGCGGTGGAAGTGACTGGGTGGCAGTGTTGTATCGGGACTGGGCAGAGGGCCAGAGCAGAATTTCTGGACAAAGGATACCCGATGGCTTCAAGTATGTGTGTGTGTGTGTGTGCGCGCGCGGGCGCGTAGGTGAGTGTGTGGGGGTGTGGGTAGGTGGGTGTGCGGGTGTGTGGGTGGATGGGTGGGAGCATTCTTGGCTTGATGGTGTTGGCAGTACAAAGCTCTGAGGGTCTTCAGGATGTGGGTTATTTGGGCAAGGCTGAGTGTCCACTCAAGGGATCTGGATTCTGAGTCAGTGTTGATGGTGGTGGGAGCAGGTGTTGTCCTGCTCAAACTGGATGTCTCTTGTTGGGCTGAGGGGCAGAGGGAGCAGGGTCTCTGTTTCTAGACTGGGGAATGACACAGGCCAGGCTAGGGGGTGACAGGAGATGGAACTTGAAGAACCAGCTAAGGGATGACCCAGGTTGGGTGGGAGCGGGAGCGGAAACCAGGGATCTTTATGCTATTTTCTCTCTCCTGGTCTCCTCCTTCGCAGATCGCTGGTGTGGAGCACGTGGTCTTCATTCAGAGAAATGTCCTGAACTGGAGAGAGAGGACACTCCTGATAGATGCTCACAATGAGACCTTTGCGAGCCGAGTGACGGTGAAGGAGAACTGTCGCTACACAGTGAGCCTTCCTGGCCTCCAGTGGTCTTGATGCTGCCCCAGGGCCAGCCCTGTGTGTCTTGCCAGTCTCCCCTCTCTGTGTTCTCCTGACCCCTCACGGGCGGGTTTTATTCCCCTTCCTTTTTTGGACCAAGTGTCACTATGTAGCCCAGGCTGGCCTGAAAACTTTCTATCTTCGTATCTCAGCCACCTGAGTGCTGGGATTATAGGTGTATGTCACCATATCTTGCTAAAATGTCTTTTTATTGCTGACATATATAAATATATTTATGGACATTTAAGGATATGTAATGATGTAATGTTTTTATATACACATATAACATAACTATTGAAATATATCTAAACACATACTGATAATTTGTATTATACAAATGATGTGCATATTATGCATATAATTTTATCTCTCTCTGTGTATGTAATTTTTTTGTGGGATTTTGTGCTGGAGTTATAGGTGTGCGCAGCTTGAGAAAGGGGTTTTTGCTCCCTGCAGTTAGACTCCACATCATTGTCTGGGTGCAGAATGCTGTCCATGGCAGGCCAGAAGAACCCTTGGAGAGGGCACAGTTTGGCCATACTGAGACCCTGCAATGGCTCCTTCCCATCCTGCAGGTCCATCCTGAGAATGAAGACTGGACTTGCTTTGAACAGTCCGCATCCCTGGATGTCCGCTCTTTCTTTGGCTTTGAAAGCACCTTGGAGAAGATCGCCATGAAGCAGTACACTGCCAATGTCAAGAGGGTGAGGGAGACTGAGGTAGCTACAGCAGGAAGGTGCACAGGCCAGATATGCTACTGACAACACCTGTGACACCAGGCAACAGCTCCGACTTTCCTGGGCTTAAGTCTTCTTGTTTTTAAAAACAAACACTGGGGTCATGACTGCATCAGTGAGGCCACCCATGGGAAGAGCTGGCCTATAGTGGGGGCATCCTGACATTGTCCCAGCACTCCAATAGACTGCAGCAAGTGTAAGTCTGGGCTACAGAGCAAGTTCAAGGCCAGCCTAGGGAACTCAGTGAGACAAACAGCTCAGGTGCCACCTGAGGCGGAGATCAATAGCGGAGCAAGCACTTGCCTAGCATGTGTGAGGCCCTGGCTTCAATCCCCAGGACCAGATCTGGAAGTGTCAGTGAGGCCAGGGCCATAATTTAGTGATAGAATACCTGCCTAGAATCCCCTGGTGAGGGATGAAGGGTGTGGCTCAACAGCAAGGCACCTGCCTAGAATTCCTCAGTGAGGGACTGGCGGTGTAGCTGGGTGGTAGAGCATCTGTTTAGCACGTGGGAGGCCTTAGGTTCGACTCCCAATACCACAAAGTCACTGCTTGGGTTAATGGCCTTAGGCTCCATGTCAGAGAGTGGCCTGTTCACCAAATGAATAGTCTGCTTTGGGTGATATACTTTACCTGATGAATTACCAACATAAAACTGAGCTCAATGCATGTACTCTGTGTTTGGTCTTGTTTATCTCTGCTCCTCCTGGCCGAATTTTAGCTGTGCAATATGTCAGGGCTATATGTCAGGGCTGGGACCTGAGCATGTGTGATCCCTCAGGGCTGGTGTGGTTGACCTTGCAACGCTGCTTGTTTGGTGACATCTTTTGGGTCTGTTGCTTCCAGGGGAAGGAGGTGATTGAACACTATCTGAGTGAGCTCATTTCCCAGGGAACATCTCACATTCCCCGCTGGATACCAGCTCCTGTTCAGAAGGAGGATGTCGGAAGCCAACTTGTGCCCCGGTGCCCTCGCTCCCTGGAGACCGATGGCCCCAGTGATGCCCCAGGCCCTGCTCCTGAGACAGTCACGGCTGATGGTAGGTAGCTGCAGAGAGCCATATCCAAGTCTGTGCCCTCACCTCTGGCTTCAGGAAGCCTGCCACACTGCCAAGCTCCCTGGAGGCGGGAGAGGTGCTGCTCATCGCCAGGGCTGGGAACAGTCTGGCACTCACTAGGCCTCCTCCCCCTGCTTCTCAGAGCTGATCTATTTCTAGCCCAGGAACTGACCTCTGGTGGTTTTAAGATATTTTTAATTGCACGAGTAATGCAAGATCATGGTAGAAAAGCCTCCAAATGAAGATGAGGAGTGAGAAGTGACGGCTAGAGAGGGGCTCAGTCAAGAAAGCGCTTGTCCCGGCACACACGAATGGCGTCTCCCAGAGCCCACACAGGAAGCCAGGAGACATGGTGGCACTCAGGTGGAATCTTAGCACTAGAGAGGTGCCACCTGAGTCTCACTGATCCTAGCTGGAGAGCCCTAGGCCAGCGAGGCGTTTTGCTTCAAACAAAACCGAGGTAGATGATACCTGAGGACCAAACCTAAAGGTGGCCCCTGCGTACACACATGCACACACAAGAGAAAAGAATGATGATTCCTTCCCTCTCCCAAGAGTTCTCAGTAGTTTGTGTTTCATGAAGGGGCATATGGCACAAGAGGGCATACATCCTCTCGCCCGCACACATGTGCACACACATACTCACACTTGGAGACTGTGGAACAGATGAGAGCATGCCCTGCATCCCGTCTGTACGCTACCATTTCTTACTAACATTGCACAAATACCAGCCATATTCTTGTTCTTCATAGTACAATGGGGACGATTGAAGCCTCACTTCCTAAAGTTGACTCACTGTTATAATTGTTTGAGACAGAGGCTGGCCTTGTTTTTGGTAGGGACGTTGAACTTCAAACCTTCCGATTTCCCACCTCCTACATGCTGGAATTATAAGCATGTGCCACCATGATGCAGACAATTTTAGCCTCTTTCAAAACTTCATACAAATCACATAGTATGTAAAATCATATAATATGTGTGTGCATGCTCAATGTATAAGCCAGAGGGTCCACTGTTTGAGGCCTCTCTGTGTTAGCTCAGGCTAGCCTTGGATTTGAGGTCCTCTTGTGTTTGGGGATTAGTAAACACTTCTGTGTCTGGGTGCTTTGCACATGTTCTTTAAATATTTTTCTAAATTATATTTTTATTTATTGGTGTGTGTGTGCCACAGCTCATATGCAGAGACCAGAGGACACTCACAGGAGTCCGTTCTTTCCTTCCATGTGTGGGTTTCGGGGATCGAACTCAGGCTGCCAGGTTTCGTAGCAAATGCCTTTACCTAGGCAGCCATCTCATCAACCCTCAGGGTTTTGTTTGTTTTAAAATGGGTCTCAAGTAGCCCAGGTTACTATGCTGCGGAGGTGAGGAGGTGAACTCCTGGTCCTCCTCAGTGTTGGGATTATAGATGTGTATCGCCATGTCTGTCTTAGGTGTACATTGTGTGTGTGTATGCATATGTGTGTGTTTTAATTACACTCAAGGAATGAAAAAATGTCACACAGGACAACACTGTTTTATTGTTTTTTTTTTTTTTCTGGCTTGTTTGATTTTTGAGACAAGAGTCTTTCCATGTGACTTTGGCTGACCTAAAACCTGCTCTGTAGACCAGGCTGGCCTCTACCTCACAGAGATCATCCTGTTTCTGCCTCCTGAGTGCAGACCTGGCACCATGCCTGTCTTTATTTATTTATTTTTGAGATAAACTTATTTAAAGTTATTTTCTCATGTAGCCCAGACTGATCTTTAACTCCTGTCTCCATCTCCCAGGTGCTGAATTTATAGGTGTGCACCACCATGCCCAGGGACAGTTCAGTCTGTTGATATAGAAAGTGCTCACAATATGATGTTAAAACAAAAGTACAGGCAGGAGAGTCAGCAGTCTTTAGACCTTCATCCCAGAGAGTGAGGATCTCTCCATACCTGAGGCCTGGAGGGAAGCCCCCGCCCATGGAAATGTCCATGCTTGCCCACCATAAGTTTTCAAAACCATTTGGAAAGATGAATTTGGAGCTTTTGTGGCTGTTGCCAAGTCCTGACTAGGAACCGCATTCCAGAGCTCTGACAGTTGGCAGGTACAGACGGCCACACAGAGTGTAGGCCATGTGGTAAAGACCCATGTCACCAGATGTGGTAGCTGGTTTTATGTCACCTTGACACAAGCTGGAGTTATCTGAAAGGAGGGAACCTCAATTGAGAAAATGCCTCCTCCATAGGATCTGGATGTCCGTCATTCTCTCAATGAGTGACTGATACAGAGAGTCCAGCCCACTGTGGGTGGCACCATCCTGGTAGTCCTGGGTTTTATAAGAAAGCAGGCTGAGGAAGCCATGGGGTGTAAGCCAGTAAGCAGCACTTCCCCATGACCTCTGCATCAGCTCCTGCCTCCAGGTTCCTGTCTTGTCTTAGTTTCTGTCTGACCTCCTTCAATGAGGAACAGTGTAAGTCAGATAAACCCTTTCCTTCCCAGGTTGCCTTGGTGACAGTGTTTCATCACAGCAATAGTAACCCTAGCTAGGGTAGCAGATATGGTAGTACATGCCTGTGACCCAGCACTCAGGAGGTGTAGACAGGAAGATCAGGAGCTCAAGGATAGCCTCAACTTTATGGTGTATTTGAATCGAGCCTGGGGTACATGAGACCCTGATTCAAGACAAAACAAAACACACAAACACCCTGAAATCCCTATTTTTCTTCCTCCAGGGGACAAGCTGGATGCAGACTACATTGAGAGGTGCCTGGGCCATCTCAGTCCCATGCAGGAGAGTTGCCTGGTCCAGCTTCGGCACTGGTTACAGGAGACGCACAAAGGCAAGGTGGGTGTGGGCCTCGCACTTCAGTGACAGGAGTCAGCCGGGGCAGCGGGGAGGGAAGAGAACAAGCTTGTGCTGTCAGTAACACTAAGAACTCAGGGTTTGCTTCATTGGTATTACATCTGTCCTGTCTGTCTTTTACACATACTGAGGCCACTCTTCTCTTGCTAGTGAAGTTTGGAGTTGGGAGATTCTTTGTAGTAGTGTTTATTCGGTATATTGTAATATGCTGGTAACGTCCCTAGTCTCCAATCAGGAGATGCCAGTATCTTGCCCGATCCAGATGTAACAACTCAAAATGACCCTTAGTGTGAACATATGTCCTCTGGGGATACACACAAGTGTGTGTGTGTGTGTGTGTGCGCACAGACACAGTCATGTGCAATTGAGAATCTTAGCTATACCATCCTCATCTGACCGTGGAAACTGTCCTTTTCTAAGAGACGAATGACTTAAGAAGGGTGATTGTTGGTTGTCTATGGATTTTGTCTTTAAGGTCTAGCTCTGGTAATGTGGATGGGACACATACCTCAGCCCCAAGCAGATGGGCAGCAGATGGGTCTGTTTTCAGTTCTAACAAACCAGAACTTTTTGCTTAGGCATGGATTGTGTACATTTGCTTCTCCTACCCTGGGGCCAGACGAGAGAGTAGCTCAGTGTTGGCCTATAGCATAACTGGTCACTTCTATTTCTGCAAATGTGAAATGTGAAAAATAGTGTGGGCCACAAACGCTGAGCCACAGCAAATGCTTAGGGTGGAATCCTCCGATGCAAAGAGAGAACTCCCAAAAAGGCAGCTTGCGATATGACTGGTTTTGTACCAACGGCATATTAGGAAAGGAGGAGGAGAAAGCAGAGGGGAGAGGGGAAGGGGAGGAGCTGCTACCCCAAGGAAAGATACTGTTTTTAGGACAAACTGGGAGGGACGCTAGGCACCCACACTGCACAGCTGTTCACCACAGCCCTCCCCTTGGCCTCTCTGCTCTGGGCTACTTTCCCCAGCTGTTTTGCAGATGAGGTAATAGGCCGATTTCTGTCACTTTATCTCAAGGGTTGGAAGTATCATTGTGTGGTCTTCTCTTTCCTCTCTGTCTCTCAGATCCCCAAAGATGAGCATATCTTGCGCTTCCTGAGGGCACGAGACTTCAACCTGGACAAGGCCCGGGATATGTTGTGCCAGTCCTTAAGCTGGCGGAAGCAGCACCAGGTGGATCTCCTTCTGCAGACCTGGCGGCCCCCCGCGCCCCTGCAGGAGTTCTATGCTGGAGGCTGGCACTACCAGGATATAGGTGCGCCCCACACCTGAGCCACACATGAGAGCCATGGGTGCTCTCTAGATGATGCACTCATGCTGACACCTCAGATTCCCTTTTAGCTCTCTGGGGCATCTGGAGATACCTATGACGTGCGACCCAGCTCTGAAGAAGGTGGAATAGGCATAGATTTTTGGTTTGGGGAGGATATTTCTGCTCCCAACATCACCACACATAGTCTCACCAATACAGTATTGATTTACTTAGGTAGCCATAGCAAACTAAAACAAAAGATTCCGGCCTGGTGGTTGGAAGTCTGAGATTCAGGAGGCATCAGGACTTAGAATGTGGTTCAGTTGTTAGAGTGTTGTCTAGCTTGCACGGAGCCTTAAGTCTGCTCCTCAGTGCTACACAGATCTTCTTTGGGTGGTATGCATCTGTCTTAGTTAGGGTTTAATTGCTGTGAAAAGACACGGTGACCAAGTCAACTTTTATAAAGGAAAATATTTAACTGTGGCTAGCTTACAGTTTCAGAGGTTCAGTCCATCATCATGATGGTGGGAAGCATGACAGAGTGCAGGCAGACATGGCTGCAGAGGGATCTGAGAGTTCTACATCTTACTGTACAGGCAGCAGAAGGAGACTGTGTGCCACACTGGGTGTAGCTTGAGCATAGGAGACCTCAAAGCCCACCCAAACAGTGACATACTTTCTGTAACAAGGCCACGCCCACTCTAACAAGGCCACACCTCCTAATAGTGCCACTCCCTATGGCTAAGCATTCAAACACATGAATCTATGGGGGCCATGCCTATTCAAGCCACCACAACATCTGAAATCCCAATACCCAGGAGGTGGAGGCAGGAGGATCAGAAATTTAAGGTTAATCTCCGCTATAAAATGAATTCAAAGCCAGCCTGGGCTAGAGATTCTGTCATTCATAAAGCAAACAAACAAACAAACAAACAAACAAAGTTGAGAAGCTCTAGGAGGGTCTTACACCACCTCTTCATGATGGCCCCTGAGCTTGTGGCTGTATCATTCTCAATTTCTGTCCCTACTTGACATGCATGGCCTTCCCTGTGGGTACCTCTGTGTCCCTCACCACCTCTCAGGAGCTCTGGGTCATTTAGAACCCACCCTACCTCCATCCTGATGTCATTGGGAGATCCTTAATTGACAGCTGCAGCTCCAGTAACAAGGTTCTGGGGGACATAAGATTTTTGGGGACAATATTCTTTCCATTGTAGGTTTCCTTTCCAGATTTAAAGGTATAGAGCCATGAAGCCAAATCACGGCGCTCTTTAAGGTCTATCATGAAAGATGGCGCCCTCTGAAGGAACGGTGTGCTCTCTTAACCACTTACACTGACTCTCTAGCTCCCAATTTTTAAATTTTTATTTTGCTGTTTAAAAATGGCTACTCAGTGTGGTGCCTGGTAGCTCTGGCCTGACATCTCCACTCCTTGAGAGTCTGAGGCAGGAGGATTGCAAGTTTAATGCCTATGTTGGCTACAGAGTAAAAATTAAGGGCTGGCCTGGGAATTTATGAGACATAAAGTGAAAAGAAAGTTGGAGACGTGGCTCGGGGATAGGTCACCTGTCTGTATGAGGAACCCCGGGCTCCAAGCCTTAGCGCTACAAGAGGGGCAGACAAGCAAAAGAGAATAGTTGGGTATGCAGGGCTGAAGCATCTGTTCCTGCATGCAGGGCCTTCCAATAGAAGACACGTGTGCCCAGTAAGTTTGGTCCTCTGAGTTACAGTCCTTCTGGTTTTGAGGTCAAGGTTGATGGGTCTGCCGTTTCTATTATACTGTCCTTAGAATGCAGCAAGCAAGGCCATCTGGTGATAAGGACACAGAAATGTGACCAGACAAGCAACGGGACCAACTCCATGTTCATAGAAGCCGTGGCTGATGGTTCACGAGCTCAGGGTTCCAGTTCACAGAGCACAGCTCTCAGGAATGAAGAGAGCCACCTATGTTAGCAGTCCTTACAGAAAACTGGCCATGTTGACAGTTCCTCTAATGTTCTGGTTGGTGGAAAGCCAGGGACCGAATGTGCGCTCTCTGGATTTCCTCATGACATGGCTCACATAATCTTTAAAACATTTTTTTTTTTAAATTAAAAGTGGTTTGAGTGCATGTGTGAGTGTGGAGACAAGAAGACAACCTTCTCGTTTGATGTGTGTGTCTCACTGAACGTGCAGCTCATGGACTAGCAGAGACAAGGCTGAATGTCCAGAAGCCCCAGGGACACCCGTGTCTCTGACTCCCCAGCACTGGGACTGCAACTCCACACCACCAAGCCGGTCTTGAACTTACAGAGACCCACTCACCTCTGCTTCCTGCTAGGACTAACGGTGTGCACCATTGCTCATGGGGACCATATTCACAGCTCTGCCTGCCTTCAGAAAACATGGGACCCGTGGCTGCAGAGATGGCTCAGCAGTTAAGGGCACTGACTGCTCTTCCAGGTCCTGAGTTCAATTCCCAGCAACCACATGGTGGCTCACAACCATCTATAATGGGATCTGATGCCCTCTTCTGCTGTGTCTGAAGACAGCTACAATGTACTCACATACATAAAATAAATAAGTAAATCTTAAAAAGATGAAACAGGAAGCTAAAGACAAGACTCAATTCTTCACACTTGCTATGCAAATGCTTTACTGACAGCAATCCCCCTAACCATTAGAAAAAAGAAAGGGAAAAAAATAAGTGAACTACTGATTTTAGTTTTAGATAGAAAAGGTAGCAAGATGGTGCAGGTGCCCCCGTACCCCTGTTCTCCCCTCTATTTTTGAATGTGTTTCTGTGTTCAGTTTTCATAAGGGGTGGCTGAGTGCTGCATTGGTCCCTCGATGAAACCCAGCATGACCTCTGCTCCTAGCTGGGGAGTTAGGTTCTTATGCAGAGCTTTGACTGGTTCCAGTTGCCAATATCCCCCTAAGAGATGTCTCTTCTCTTTTCTGGGCTTTGCCCACCCACAAAGATGGTCGCCCCCTCTACATTCTGCGCCTGGGGCAGATGGACACCAAAGGCCTGATGAAGGCAGTAGGAGAGGAAGCTTTGCTGCAGCACGTGAGTCAGGGGCGGGGGCTGGGCCAGAGATGTTGGCCTGTGGGCGGAGCAGCATAATTAGCTGTTGTCAGTACCAAGCCTGCCTTCTAGGTTCTTTCTGTCAACGAGGAAGGACAGAAGAGATGCGAAGGAAACACAAGACAATTTGGCCGTCCCATCAGGCAAGAACCCGAGTTGGGGGAAAACGCCCAAACAATGCTAATTAACGTTTACTGCTTCCGGCGCTTGTGTGTGGTCAGGTGGCTGGCTGAAGTGGGGTGGGGCTGAGCTAATCTGTGCTGTTCCGGACTAGTTCCACCTCCAGCTCCATAGGCTCCTCCTCTTTGCTTCCTCAGGCCAGCCTTCCTCCTCAGGCTCTGATGTGACCTGTGTTCTCTAGTGACCCATGGTCTCCCTCTTCCTTCTTCACATTTCCATTCCTGTGAAAGTGTCCTGTATCCCCTGCTCCCAGCCCTGCCTTTCTGAACCCTTTGCTCTGTCCCAGGTGTCTGGGAGGGTGCTGGAGGCCCTGTGATGTGACAGAGTCAGGTAGAGCCCGAGGTCTTGTGTTTGTCACAGCTCCTGGACCTGCTTGCTGGACTTGGAGGGCCTCAACATGCGGCATTTGTGGCGACCTGGGGTGAAAGCCCTGCTGCGGATGATCGAGGTGGTGGAGGACAACTACCCCGAGACTCTGGGCAGGCTGCTCATCGTGCGTGCTCCCCGCGTCTTCCCGGTGCTGTGGACGCTGGTGAGACCCAGAACGGGGCCATATAAGGGGTGAATCTTTTACCTGAATGATCCTGAACACACAGATCAGTGGAGATGATGCGGATCCAAGGTTATGGGGTCTCCTCTCCGGGAGATGGAATTGGACTATGATGAGGTTTTATGGCTTGTTTGAATGGATCAAAGCCTGTGAATCCTGCACTTTTAAATTCTATGGTTTTGTGCATAGGTGTGTGTTCACTTGGGTGCATGTGTGTGTCAGGTACATCTGCACATATGTGTATTTGGGTGGCAGTCAGAGGTGAGAGGTCAACCTTGGGTGTGCTTCCTCATGGTCTCCCCACCTTATTTTTTGAGACAGTGTCCCTCACTGAACCTGGAGCTCACCCGTTAGGTTAGCTAGCCAGGGAGTCTCAGTGGCTCACCTGTTGCCCCTGATCCCCCAGCACTAGGTTTACAAAATGGATGCCACCAAACCCAGCTTTTTTTGAATGTGTGTTCTGAGGATCCAAATTTAGTTTCTCATGCTTACATGCCAAGCACTTTACCGACTGTGCCATGTCGACAGCCTGAATCATGCACTTTGAAAAGATCAAGTCAACCCAATGTAGACCTTTAATCCCAGCACTCAGGAGGCAGAGGCAGGAGGATTTCTGTGAGTTCTAGGCCAGTCAGATCTATATGTTGAGTTCCAGGCCAGCTAGGCTTACATAGTGAGACCCTGTCTTAAAATAAAAATCAAGTCAGGGCTGGTGACAGGGCTCAGCAGTAAGATGCCCGGATGGTTGCAAGCCTAGATTAATATATTTTCTTCTCAGGATGTCTTTTTCATAGTATTTTTTAAAAAAGTACCTTTTTGACATAAAATAGCTATATTTTAAATTTATACGTTCTTTAAGTTTTCTATCCTGTTGAACTCTAAAGAAATTATACAAACACATAAGCACACTCTCACTCTTGAGGCTTCGGTTTCTTTCTTTCTTTCTTTCTTTCTTTCTTTCTTTCTTTCTTTCTTTCTTTCTTTTTTCTTTTTTCTTGAGACAGCATTTCATTTAACCCCAGCTAGCCTCAGATTTGCTACTCACCCAAGGGTAACCTTAAACTTCTAATGTTCCTGCTTCTATCGTCAAGAGTGTTGAGTGTATGGGCGTGTACCACTATGCCTAGTTTATGCAGTGTTTGGATCCAGTCAGGGCTGGAGACAGGGCTCAGCAGGTAAGAGGGCCTGTGGCCAAGCCTGATGACCTCAGTTCAATCCCTGGGACACACTCATTGGGATCCATAGAGCAGAGAACCATGGGTAGTAGGAGAAAAAGAACTCCTAAAAGGTGTCCTTTAATTTCCACAAATGCCCACCCCAAAATAAATTCACATAAAACAATTTTTTTAAAGATCAATTCTGACTGGGTGGTGACACATGACTTTAATTCCAGCACTCAGGAGGCAGAGACAGACAGATCTCTGAGTTTGAGGCTAGCCTCGTCTACAGAGTGAGTTCCAGGACAGTCAAGACTGCATACAGAAAACCCTGTCTGGAAAAACAAAAACAAAACAAAGAGCTGGGTCTGCTGGTGCATGCCTGTCACTGATGCACGCCTGTCAGTCGTCCCAGCACTCGGGAGGCTGAGGCAGGAAGAACCTGAGTTTGATGATGGTCCACAGAGTGAAACCCTTCTCAAAAACAAAACAGAAAAGCCCAAACCAAAAATCAATCAATAAATACAACCAAAGCAGAAGTAAAATAAAACAAAGCCAACCAATAAGGTGGCCGAATCCCACTTTATGAATCCCATTGAGTAAACACAGACTCTGTCTTGCCCCCACCCCCAGGTCAGCCCCTTCATCAATGAGAACACCAGGCGCAAGTTCCTCATCTACAGTGGCAGCAATTACCAGGGCCCTGGCGGCCTGGTGGACTACCTGGATAAGGATGTGATCCCTGACTTCCTGGGAGGAGAGAGCGTGGTGAGGCTGGCTGCCAGTCCTGGATCCCAGAAGGGAGTGGGTCCTGGGGTCGGGAAGCTAAGAACAGTGCTGAGCTCCTCCTACCCTCACAGCGGGGACACACTGGCTTTAAGTGGGGACAGGGTTGGTTGTAGAAGCTTCCTCAGAGAGGTGACATCTCTTAAGGTAGAGCCTTCCGTTGGTTATTCAAAGGCAGTGAGGGCTGGAGGTGATACTTGCTGGGGCTAAAGTGATGTTTCTGCAGCTAAGGGCGCTTTGCCTGAGGACCTGGATTTGATTCCCAGCCCCACATCGTGGTTCGCAACAGCTGTAACTCCAGTCCCAGGGAGTCCAATGCCCTGGCTTCCATAGGTACTGCATGTGTGTGGTACATAAACATGCATGCAGGCAAAACACCTATGCACACAAAAAATGTTAAAACATTTAAAAAACAAGTACTTGCTGTGCACACCCCTCCGTTCCCGGGCACAGACACCAGGCAGCAGGCTTGTGCCACTTGTTGGTAAAATGGTTTTCTTAGAAATTCTGCCCAGCTCGACTGTGCTCTCTCTTGTGATACAAATGTCTGGCTTCCTTTTGGGGTCCAGTTTACTGAAGGACAATGAGCAAGGACCTTGCTCTGTTATCCCCTCTCCTCTTTTGTTTTCAAAGTGAACCAAGAAAAACTGTTGTGTGCTGGTGCGTGGGGTCTGAGGCTTGGTCACCCAGGGCAGCTTTGGTTTTGAGACCTCTACAGAACCAGACAGGCCCTTCACTGGTCAGTTCCCACTGAGGAAGGGAAGATGCTGCCCTCACTTCGAGTGTACTGTAGAAGCAGGAACCACATCTAGACAGTATAAAAAGGGTTCAGAGTGCAAGGGTCTACACACACATACACACATGTACACACAAAATGAACATACATGCAAGCTTGCGCACACACATACATGCACACATGAGCAAGCACATGCACACATACACATGCTCACACCATGTATGCACACATGCACACGCACACACACACACACACACACACACACACACCACAGTGTGCATTTGCATATGGAGGTCAGAGAAAGCCTGCAGGAGTCATTCTCTCTTCAACATATGGGCTCCAAGGACGGAACTCAGGTCTTTAGACTTTGTGGCAAGTGCCCTCACCTACTGAATCTTGTCACAAGAGTCTGTTTGTCTTGCTTTTGAGAGGGGTCTCACTATTAAGCCCAGGCTGGCCTAGAACTCAGGATCCCCTGTCCCCAACCTCCTGAATGCTGGGATTACAGGCATGTACCATCACACTTGACTCATAGTCTTATGCCCTGATCAGCCATGTTCTCCTGTGTGATCTTGAGAAAGTAGCCTGACCTCTCTAAGCCTCCATCCCTCTTTTGCTACATGAGAAGAGTGCATCTTACCCTGCTATTGGTTCTGTGGGCTTCAGAGACTGGTGTCACAGGAGCCAGTGTCCAGATCAAGAGGGGTCGCAATCCTAAGCTGTTTCAAGGTTTCCAGGACACCTAATGAGAGGCCAGAGGGGCCTTGGCAACCCTGACCTGCCAACTTTTTTTTGTCTTTGAAACCTTCCCTCAGTGTAATGTTCCGGAAGGAGGGATGGTCCCAAAGTCCCTTTATCTGACGGAAGAGGAGCAGGAGCAGGCTGACCAGCTACGGCAGTGGAGTGAGACCTACCATTCAGCCAGTGTGCTCCGTGGGACCCCCCATGAGGTACCACCTGGTGCCACCTGACCTGAGAGGGTACGGTAGGGGTGGTATCATGTTCCTTCAGATTGGGAATGAGGTGATTCCAGTCACTCAGGTTCAACTCTATCCAAGAAGCTCTGGGACATGGGATGGTTGCAGAATCCCTGGGTGTCTTCACACTCCAGGCACCTGCGGTTCATCCCAGGTGACCAGGCCTTTCAGAAAGAGGCAGGCTTCTGGGTGGAGGGGATTATGGGAGAGTCTTAGCAGCTCATCCTGACCACAGGGAGACTGATAGATGACCAGTGATGAGCATCCTGACCTTGGGACTCTCCCACCTCTTCTCCCATGATACAGGTTGCCATGGAGATACCAGAGGGGGAGTCGGTCATCACCTGGGACTTTGATATCCTCAGAGGGGATGTGGTGTTCAGTCTGTATCATGCAAAGCAGGCACCCAAGCTCAGTCCCCAGGAGCCTGGGGTTAGAGCCAGTGGGCAGCTGATCGACAGGAGCTGGGTCCTGGGGGTGGATTACAGCCGTGTAGAGGCGCCGCTCATCTGCCGGGAAGGGCAGAGCATTCAGGTGTGTAATTGTGGGCTTTTCTTACTAACTTAACATGGAGTATCAAGCCCCAACCCCCAAGCCTCTGGGGAGACATCTACAGACAAGTCGGATGTGCTTGTAGCCTCTGGAACCCTGCAGAGCAACTGGGGAGAGACACTCACTGTGTTTGTGTAATAAGAGTCCCCCCACTGAAGATGGCTGTGGAACGAGCATGGGGCACTAAGCTAAGAGGCAGCTAGAGACCTGGGGGAGCTCTTGGAGCCTCAGTTTCTCCATGGGGAAAAGAATTCATTAAAGGGTCCAAATGATTTAAATGTGGCCGGGCAATAGCCCAGGCAGTGAAGTGCTTGCCATGCAAACACAAAGACTTGGGTTTGATCCTCAGAACTCATGTGGGGACACACACACATGCACGTATGCATGCACACACATGCATGTGGGTGCCCCAAATGACTACGAAGTTTCTCATTTCTAAGTTCAGGAGGGCTCCAGGTCCAAAGTTGAGGAGCCTGTGGGGTTCCCTAAGGACTGATGGAATATTCCTTCTTGTTCTCTTGGAAGGCCTTTGCCGCATAGACACATAACTGCAGGCCCCACCCTGACCGTATTTGGTTCTGTCTTCCATGTCTGTTTTGTGTCCCAAGGCCCCTTCCCCTCTCTCCTATAAGGATAGCAGTAGTTGTGTTTAGGATTGACTCTGAATCTTTAGCTGAAAAAATGGAAGAAGTATCTAAATGAGATTATCTTCTGAGGTTCTGGGTGGGTATGGATTGGGGGAACTGTTCAGTCCATGTCATCACCCGTGGTGAGTGGAGGCGTCTCCACCATCCTTCCCCATATGAGCTCATAACAGAAGACAGTTGGCTGGGCTGGGAGAGGTGGAGGAGCTGATGTTCCAGGCAGAGGGGAACTAAGCTGGAGAAGCAGGGCAAGCCAGGGGCCGGGGTGAGTTGTGGAGCAGGAAGGCAAGTGGGAAGGCCACGAGGTGAGCAGCCAGCTCCAGCACCCCGAGACCCTGGTCTCAGAACCCCCCCACTATGAATTTCCGAATGTAGGCTTGCGAATCCACATCTCCTGTCTCCCAGGTCTCTGACATGCAGGTTTCCACAGACAGCTAGAAACTATGGGTCGAGGAGCAGAATTTGGATGTGTATCTGGGTTGTGAGATGCCTTTCTCACCCCCACCATCTCCCCATGAGACCACTGTTACAGGTGGAATATTACATCCCTGCACACATACAGATACACTCTTGGGCATACAAACATAATATGCACATATAACCACACACTTATACATACACGTAGACACACTTACACATAAATGCACACATGCACATATATGTACACAGACACACTGAAACACACATATACACTCACACTGACACACACATATGTACACATACATACACGCATTGACACATAAGCACTCACATGCACATATATGCACACACAGATACACACTTACCAAAACACAAACACACACACATATTATATATATACACACACACACATGCACCTACACGTGCACACATACACACACATAAGTACACACAGTGAGAGTCCTCTGGCTCCATGAGTATCATGGACCTTATTGAAGGCTCCATGGAGGTCACAGCCAGCTCCGAACACCCCCTTAGTGCTTCCTCAGAGCTGCCCCACCTCTAACCTTGCCACATCCCCCTCTCCCACTCACCCACACAGTCTCCCTAACACCCTCTTAGTGGCTCCTCTGATGGCCCTGGATTGCAGACCTCACCTCCTCAGGGGAGACGTTAATGTCACTGCCCCGAGCTAAGTGGGAAGCTCCAGTCTCTGGGATATGGCAGTCACCACAAGGAGGCTTTAGCAGGCTCTTAGAAAGGATTGCCCGGCATATCAGAAGGGTCCAAATAGAAAGAAACTTGTTTCCCAAGCCTGCTTACAAAAAATCCAGGAAGGTTTAACCTCCCATCTCAGCTCCAGGAGAACTCAAATCCCTGTCTTGTCCTTAGGTCTCCAGACTCCATCCTGTCCCAATAGACCCAACCCTCCATCTTGTCCTCAGGAGTGTCGGAAGACCCAGCCCCCAATCTCATCCCCAGTAGGACCCAGATCTCTGACTTGTCCCCATGGGGACTCAGTGGCCTATCTTGTTCCCAGAGGAACCCATTTCTCCATTCCTTCCCCAGGAGGAGGAGCTGGTCTTACTGTGGGTCTGTGTTTCAGGGCTCCCATGTTACTCAGTGGCCTGGCATCTACCTGCTCCAGTGGCAGATTCACAATCCCCCTGAGAGTGTAGCCTGCAGTCTCCCAGGTGTGGATGATGTCCTGACGGCTCTGCACAGTCCTGGCCCCAAGTGCAAGCTGCTCTATTACTGTGAAGTGCTGGCGTCTGAAGACTTCAGGTAGGCGAGGCCTCCCACCAGCACTGGAGGTGTGGCTAGTTCTGTGATTGCTGATGTTTCTGCAGTGGTGTGGGGTCAGATTCTCCTGGGATGGACATCAACAGCACTCTATAGGAACTCAGAGGATTCCCTTTGCCCAAGCTGGGCCAATGGTGGTGCACGCCTTTAATCCCAGTACTCAGGAGGCAAAGGCAGGCAGATCTCTGAGTTCGAAGCCAGCCTGACCTACAGAGAGTTTCACCATAGCCACGGCTACACAGAGAAACCTCATACAGAAACAGACAAAACCAGAGAGAGAGAGAGAGAGAGAGAGATCAAATGCTGAACTGTAGTTGCAGGGTTCAAGGGTCTCTGTGGACTGGGCCTGGGGGAGGAGAAGGGGCCTTATCACCTGAACCATCCTTCATCCCTAGAATTCCCCAGAGTTTGCAACCACTCTAAAGTATTCTAGAGCAGTGCCTTCCAGGGAACTGTCAATAGGTTGCTACTTTAAGAGGCCTTCCTCAGGTTCCCAGTTACCTTGTCTCTGAGGAGACAAATCAATTTGCCCCTCTGAGATTTACAAAGCCCAACTGTGTAAATGGGAACCAACGAGGATATGGTTCACTGGGCACATAGTAGGTCCTCAGGAGAGAAGCAGGCAGCCTGGAGGTGGAACAGGCAAGATCTTCAATTTCTTCCCTATTCTCGTAACTTTTTATTAGTGTTGAGTCAGGGTCTCGTGAAATATAGGTTGGCCTCGAACTCATGATGAGGCTGAGAAGCTCCTGACCTCCTCCCTCCACCTCCCTAGCGCTGGGATCACACGCATGCACCACCACACCTGGCTTTATGTGGTGGTGGTATCAAACCCAGGGTTTCATACACGCCAGGCAAGCACTCCAGAGGCTGAGACAGGAAGACCCCAAACTTGAGGCCAGTCTGGGCTAAATAAGAAGCTATCTCAGAAAACCAAAAGAAACTAGGAAGTTCTCTCAGGCCAGCTCTGATCTGACACCTAGAACGGGGTTAATTGGTAGCTCAGGCTGGCCCGGAACTCACAATCCCTCTGCTTCCACCTCTTGAGTGCTGGGCTTGAAGAGTTATGCCGCTGTATTTAAGGAAAACAGAGAGAATGAGCCCAGAGCGGTTTCTGCTCCATGCCAGTCAGGGCAGCTCCTGATTGCTGCGGGCCTAGCTGGACCTTGGCGGACTGGGTATCTCATCTTTCCTCACTATGGCGTCACTGGCTTTTCCCTCTGCGCCGGTTACCCCCGTGGAGGTTAGCAGCCTTGAGGAAGGAGCCCTGGGGACTCATTTGCAGTGTTAACAGCTTTTGCCAGGAAGATAACTTAAGGTGTACACATGCTTGCTCCCCAGGGGCTCCATGTCCAGTCTGGAATCCTGTGCCAGCCGCTTCTCTCAGCTCAGCGCCACCACCTCCTCTTCGTCCTCTGGCCAGTCCCACAGTGGCTCGATGGTGTCCAGATAGCTGGCTGAGGACCTGATGGCAGCCTGTGAGAATGAGAACGAAGCCCATCTAGACAGACACCTAGGATCCTGTTGGATGCAGATGGCGCAGTGCCACAGCTGGGGTATGATGACCCCACAGCAGGGACCCAGCTCGCTACCTGTGTGCAGAGGGAGCTTGGCTTCGTGACCCTTGAAGGGACAAAGGCAGACAGACCCTTTACTCTGACTTTCTTTTAAAAGAGACTTCCTGGATGCTCTACCTCCTGTCCCCTGGAGTCTAGGATGTGACCAGCTGAGACCCCTCCCACCACTTGCTGTGGTTCCCTCCTCAGGAAGGCGTGTCCTACCGCGGGGTCATCACTGTTTGGTGCTAGGAAACTGCACAGGGGAAGGTCTCTTCCCAAAGTCCCAGGCCACTCAGAAGCTCCAGGCCTGGGTCCATTCTGAACCAATCACAGTTGCAGGGCTAGTGAAGGCGCGCATGAGTGCCGGGTCACATGCCTAATCTAGACCAATCACTGTGATTTGGGTGCAGTGTAGTGATTGGCCAGCTTGGATTATAGGGGGTCAGTCACGTGCTCTGGAAAGGGTAAGGTCGACTGAAGGACTACTGGGGGATGGGTGACTGCCTTAGAATTTATTATTTAGCTGTTTGTGAGTGAGCACTGCCCAAGGAGCTGTGAGAGGAGTCAAGGCTGTGCTTCCTGCAGGAAACAACCTACCTTGGACTGTAGTTCCGTTTCCTCCTCTGTGGAGCACTTAACCATGACCACCCCGGACTTGAGGAACGTAGTTCCAGGCAATGATGGGGTGATGGGGTGACTCCAGCCATTCATGTCTCCCTCCAAAGGTCTCTTCCTGAGGCGCTGCTCCCCTAAGCATTTTTTAAAAAAACCCCTTATCTCTAAGTGGCGGACATTCCTGGTCAGTCCAGGAGAACTTAGTTCAGGTGTGATTGGAATCAAGTCTCAGCACGGTGCTGGGGATCCCCTTGGGGTGGAGGTGGGGTTTCTCTAGTGCTGGTGACCCCCTGAGGGTGGAGATACTATCTCTATCCTGGAGTTGCTCTGACTCAGGGACTTTCTCCAAGACTGACATGACTTTCCCAAACATGTCATGGGAGAGTAGTGGGGCTTCTTGGAGACCAAGGACTTCTCTCTTTTCATTTCCTGGATCCACAGAAGGCGAGAGGCCACTGTTGACTTTTGGCCGGTCTCAGCCTTCCTTTGGTGTTTGGCCTTGACAGTGGCTTAAGATTGAGGCACAGCATGTAGAAGTCAGGATTTCTGGTTTTCCTTAGCCTGAACTGGTTTCCACCCCTACCAACCAGCACCAATCCACATCGCAGCCCTGGGTTTCTGCCTGACTGAAGCTTTGTGCACAGCTCCAGCCTGACCCAGAAGTTCCTCATTGTTCTTCTCTGTCAGCCTGGCATAGAATCAGGATCATTCCTACAGATAACCAGGCTAAGAGGGGTGGTTTCTGGCTGCGGGGCTAAGTGAGCAAGCATGGACTTTATACTGGCAGCAACCCCAAATCCAGAGGAGTAGGGAAGGGTCCCTAGAAGGGAGAGCCTTCCAGTGATGGAAATCACGGTCAGAATTCTGCCCTGTTCTGCTCTTCAGGAATAGATAGCAATGGAACACAGGGTGTGTGTGTGTGTGTGTGTGTGTGTGTGTGTGTGTGTGTGTGTGTGTATCCTCCAGAAAGACACTTAAAATCAGTTGTCACCAAATCACCAAGAGCAATTGGTGATAATTTCAATGACCATTATTATTATTATTTTAATTATTTGCTGTTGTTGCAGTGCTGAGGCTCAAACCCGGCCTTGTTCATGTTAGGCAATCACCACCATGGGGCTACATGCGAGGCTCATTTCTGTGGTGATTGTTTTATTTTGACATGCGTTCATGTATCCTGACCTTGAACTCTATGCTAGGCTAAGGATGACCTTAAGCTCCTGATCCTTTTGCTTCTGCCTCTAAACTTCTGAGACTGCTGGTGTGTGCCACTATACCTCTCATATGCAGTGCTGGCTTCCTTCATGCTGGGTGAACATTCTCCCACCACACCACATTCTCCCACCACACCGCATTCCCAGCCGTCTCAGTGCCCTTTAAATGCACTGCTAACCTGACTCTCAAACCAAAGCTTGTCTCAAGAAGTACTCAGGGGAGAAGCTGTCTGGCAGCTTTACACATTTGCCCTGCAGACCCTGTGAAGAACACAGTGTAACAGGGGCCCTGGGGGTCTTTTCCTCTTTCTCCACCCCCAGCTAAAACCATTTGATCAAGGGGAATGCTTGACCCTTTATTTGGGGTGGAGACCCCTTAAAGAGGTCTTGCTGCAGGTATGGCTGGCCCCTGCAGGGTTCCCAGCTGCCCTCAGGCTCTTGCCTCAACAGCTCTTTGTACTTTTACCTCATACCCTCTCCCCACCGAGAGGCTGCTGACAGCAGCTCCAAAACTACTCTCAGGATCTCAGCATCTAATAGAAAGATGCCCATAACTAGTCTCCTAAAACATTCTGACTGGCCCTGCTCCCGTCACACATAGCACACGAAGTCCTTCTGGAGGAGGATGGCTGTGGGGGTGTCCACCGTGCCCTCCTACGTTGGCGCTCAGGAAAGCCAGCAACTAAAGATAGCCCAAGAGTGCTGGGGAGGTGACCCAGGAGGTAGAGTGACTGTGGCACAAGCATGAGAGCCTGAGTTTGGATCCTCAGAAGCCATGTGAGAAGCCAGATGCAGAGATGCACACCTGTAGTCTCAGTGCTGGGTGGAGACAGGAGGATACCTGAAGCTCACTGACCAGGTTAGTTGAACTGATGAGCTCCAGGTTCAGTGAGAGACCCTGTCTCAAAAAAGTAAAATGGAGAACAAATGAAGACACCCGACATTAATCTTTGGCCTTCACACATGCACACACATATACCACACACATGCACAAAACATCCCATAGAAGGGCCTGCCAAGCTTACCTTACCCCACACCCCAGGGCAGAGAAGCACATGGTGTGGCTTTCTTTCTCCACTCTGTTCATTTGTCCACTGTGGCCAGATCAGAGCATCCTATAGCAATATGACTATAGTCTTGAAACCTGAGCCTTTCATTCACTAGCTGTGAAACCTCGTGCAGGTGACTTGACTTCTCTGTGCCTCAATTTCCTCATCTGTAAAATGGGAACAGCAGTGCCTACCTCACCATGTGACAGTGGGACAAAGGAGAATGGCTGGAAAGGCCTCCACGTACAGAAAGTACTCAGGGGGAGCACTGTTGGAGTCAGGGGCTTTTGAAGTGCTGAGTGCGTCTACCCTGGAATTCCGGGACACTTCCCTTAACTCTGAAAAACTAATCATTCAGCAAGAACCATGTTCTTCTTTTCATTGAGCTGGAGAAATAGGTGTCTGCTTGATCCTGAAATCTGATAGAAGCATTAAATACTTCACATTTGAATATCTGTCTGCTGTCAACTTCCTAGAATCCCAGTGGCTGTCCTGGGCTAGTTTCAGAATTTCTCAGCTATAGCCAGATGTGGTAGGGCACACCTGTAATCCCAGCTCTTGGGTGTAGGGAACCTCAAAAGTCAGGTCAAGACACCCCAAGGCCAAGTTCTTAGCACTAAGGAGATTTATTGTCCCAGAGGGACAGAGGGCAGGGATAAGGGACAAAGGCAGGAGACAGAAAACGAAGGAAGGGAATAAAAGAGGGAGAGAAAAGGGGCAAGGAAGAGGGAAGGGGTGTTTGCCCTGTGGGGACAAAGGACTGCCTCTGGATAGAGAGGACACAGACGTGGCCCATAGGCAAATGGTGGTTTATAAAGGTAAAGAGGAAGCCCCATGTGAGGATGAGGTGTTTCATTTTAACTGAGCATGTTAATTAGGGAGCCAAAGGGGCTTCTGGTTGCTGGACTCCAATACTTTGATAGTTGGACCTTGGTAATCAGCGTGAGGAGGAGGAAGTGGCCAAATAAGGGAATGGATCTTGGTGGCTAGCTTTAGGGATGCGGCTCTAACACTTTAGCAAGGCAGATGGACTGGGGAGAAGGGCAAGGCCTGCCAGAGCCATGTTTGCCATGCTTGGACTGGCCAGAGTCCCCTCACTGGGTGGTGGAGGCAGGAGAATTACCACGCATTTGAGGTCAGTCTGGTCTGTGTTGTGAATTCCAGGCCAGCTTGGGCTGCAATGTGAGACCTTATTACACACACACACACACACACACACACACAAACACACACACACCACAAACAACACCACAAACAAAACTCAAACTTGAGAATTTCCCAGCTGGTTTTTCTGAGGGCCACAGCTGATCTTTCTGCCTCAGAAAGAGCACAAGGCTTGGCCTTGTTCCCTCAGGCAGGGTAAGCAGGGGTGCTGGTTTCTGTGTGGAGTTCGTACTAGGCTGGGGAAGGGCAGAGAATAATTGGTTCCTCTGAGTGATCTGAGGGTTACTTATCTAGAACTCAGCCCTCAGTGTTTGTTTGAAACAGAGTTTCGCATTGCCGCTCAAGCTGGCCTGGAATTCATTACTCAGTTGCTGCTAGTCATGCATTAACTCACCCAGTTATTCATTCATTCACCCATTCATTCATTCATTCATTCATTCTTCACTCATTTATTCATTCATTAATTCATTCATTCACCCATTCATTCATTCATTCACCCATTCATTCACCCATTCATTCATTCATTATTCACTCATTCATTCATTCACCCATTCATTCATTATTCACTCATTCATTCATTCGTCCATTCATTCATTCATTCATTCACTGCTATTCACCCATGAATTTCTCTGCAGCCAGGGAGAAATGTATACCAGAGGAAGACAAATCCCAAGAGAGCATGGGCTGGGTTCAGGGCTGAGCTGCTGGCCCGGCTGACACCTTTCTCAGCCCTCGACCCCCCACCCCCACAGGCAAAACCTGCTCCAGTCCCCTGGTGGCCCTGAGCTGCTTCTGGAGTGCTACCTATGAGACATCAGGGGACTGTCTTGGCAGAAGCAACCACTGTGGGAATTTGGGCAGGGTTTTGGTGGCAGGAATCACAGCTGCCAGGAGTTGAGTGTGGGTTGCCAGGGAGACAGGTGGCTGGGGATGACTACTCTCCAGCTATTCTAGAACATACTGGACCTACCAAGATATTTCCCAGGAAACACGGTGTGAAATCCTAGAGCTATTTTCTGGATTTCAG